CTCCACAAAAGATCTCAGATAATGTAGTAATGATTCAAATTTTCACGCAGAAGACTGTAACAACCTCCACTCTTCCTGTAGCTGTTCAAGAGGATGGCTAGGATCTCCTTTATTTTCTCCTAAACAAAGCATTCGGTGATATTGATCCCAAGCAGACCGTCTACACTCCTTGCTGCAATATTTAGCCTGTATTAAATAAAATATTTTCTTAGTACAGTCCTCCATAAAATCTTAAAATCTTCTTTGTTGGAAGGCATAGAGAATCAAAAAGGGAGTTCTAGAGTATTGACGTAAAAAAAACAGAAATCAGGAAGGGACCAGGGGTGAACGATTTTAAAATTCGAAAGGCATGGGGTGAGGGTAGAACATTTCTGGAATTTCTGAAGGCAAGGGGTGGGGGAGGGGGAAGGGAATTAAATTTGGAAGCCGTCCGTGGTTGGGTATGGATGCTTTCTGGAATCACTGAATATATTGGTTTGGGAGATAAAGAGTTCTTTTGTTTAATTGTTGGCAAGGTTTGAATGGAAAAAAATGTTTTCTCATAGATAAATAATATTTTATATTAACTATAGTTAATTATAATCGTTAATTTTGTCAATTGTGTGCATGACAACTCATGGAATTAAATAAAAAAGAGCAACGAACTTTTGCAATCATTTTATCATTCAGTCAGTCAGTTAATCAATCAATCAATCAATTAACCCATCGATCGATCAATCAATCAATCAATCAATCGAACAATCAATCAATCGAACAGTCACTTGTTCAACTGATCAATCTTGAAATTGACCAATCCATTNTTTTTTGTTGGAAGGCATAGAGAATCAAAAAGGGAGTTCTAGAGTATTGACGTAAAAAAAACAGAAATCAGGAAGGGACCAGGGGTGAACGATTTTAAAATTCGAAAGGCTTGGGGTGGGGGTAGAACATTTCTGGAATTTCTGAAGGCAAGGGGGTGGGGGAGGGGGGAGGGAATTAAATTTGGAAGCCGTCCGTGGTTGGGTATGGATGCTTTCTGGAATCACCGAATATATTGGTTTGGGAGATAAAGAGTTCTTTTGTTTAATTGTTGGCAAGGTTTGAATGAAAAAAATGTTTGCTCATAGATAAATAATATTGTATATTAACTATAGTTAATTATAATCGTTAATTTTGTCAATTGTGTGCATGATAACTCATGGAATTAAATAAAAAAGAGCAACAAACTTTTGCACTCAATTTATCATTCATTCAGTCAGTTAATCAATCAATCAATCAATTAACCCATCGATCGATCAATCAATCAATCAATCGAACAATCAATTAATCGAACAGTCACTTGTTCAACTGATCAATCTTGAAATTGACCAATCCATTGATTGATCGATCGATCGAACAGATATATCTGACAGATCGATCAAATTTATTTGTTTCTCAATAACTCAATCATCCAACATTCTTCGTCTTTTCATACCAAAAACTCGTCAGAATCAATGGTACAGTCCCAGTCAGATCTTATGAGATGATCATGTCAGCTATCGTTTGCATTTCTTGAGATCTTGCGCTTTTGAGCATCTCTATGAACAAATTACCTGACAACGATGACAGCTGACGATTTTCTGTCCCAGACGCATTATTTCACAACATTTGGAGGCGTAGGGAAGCTCTAAGCTCGCATTTCCCGAAAGTCTGCGTGCCATTTCTTCAGCTGTTTCCAGGGACTTCAAACAAGCACCGCACGCCGTGTACTTGTATATAGAATTCCATAAAAACTGACTGCAGACCAACGGTTTTTCCTCAAAAATAACCTCTCCTTCTCTGAAATCCTTATTGGCAAACATTCCTTTTCCTTTCTGTTGGTTTACTTGCTCAATAGAGACATTATCAAACGAGAACTGCGTAATTCTCGGTTGTGTTGCTGCGGCGGCCATAATGGATTTCTAAGAGCGGGCCCGTGAGAATAAAATTATCAGCGGATTCCTTTTGGGCGGCTACCAAGTTTTGGCGGGAAACTCAAAGGGCGGCGCGGCCGTCACGCCAGCGCGGGAACTTTGTTCAGTAGGGGAGAAGTCAACTTTGGCGTAATTTACTATATAAAAAAGTTGAGAGCAATCAGTTTTAAGCTTTTACGGAAACGGTTTTTATCGTTTTATGACGCTGAAAGCTGAACGGGGCCTTGAGGTTTTCACAGAAGGTGGGAGTTCTCTGCTCTTCTCCTTTCTCCGACTGTCGGGTCGCCTAGCTCGGGGACATCTTCCATGGCGATTCGGAAATGAGTTTATTTATCTTGTCAAGGTAGGCAGATAGATCACCTTTTGTTCAATGATTGACTCATCCGAGCTGCCAGATAACAGAAATTTCAAAATGTTTTGAATCGTACGCTTTTTGACTGGGTACGACCCGACTAGAACCAACCTGTGTGGTTCGGTTTGGGTTTCATTTATAAAAGTCTTGTAAGACAGCTGCTTTGAGCTTAGCTTCATATTTTCTTCATAAAAGAAGAAGTTGTCAATTTTTTATGTCCTCTGAATGGGAGATGTACTTTTCCAAAGTGGTTAATGGTATGTTTCTATAGCTAGTTGTAATAGGGTTAAGAGAAGTTTTAGCACTAGTCAGCTTACTCCTATTTGTTTGGTCTTTTTATGGGGTGATTTATCTTGCTCATTTAGTTTCACTTATACCTTAACTTTCTTGGTCACTAAAACGTTTCATTCTGTTTGCCTTGCAGCAATAATGAAAGGATACCATTTGATCAGCCCAAAAATACACCACTAGTATTTACTAGGTACTGACAAAAAAAGCAAGTTCAAAATGACCAGTGGTAGGTAAGTAATTAGTTCTTGGGACAGAATCTAATAATGACCAATTCTCTTTTTAGCATTCAGAAGTTGAAAAAGAAAGAAAGGATACCTTGTCATACAACAAAAAGAACCAAAGAGGATGCCATGAAACAAAAACAATTTGGTCCTCTCGACATAGTAATAACCAGAAGAAAAATGCAAGTGCACACTCTCAAGAAATGGAGAGGAGGTCAAAGTAAATCTATTGGTAAGAGACTAGTGCTAGCCAATTGAGTTGCCAAATGTTAATAGCTTTTTATAAAAGACCTCTCACTTGATAAGCCTTCATCGATTTCATTTTAAGATCAAGGAGTGTATAAATTTTTGCATTTATGCTCACCAAAAAATGTAAGGAAAGAAGAGAAAACTGAGTGATACCTTAAAATTCCAGATTTAAGCCACCTCAGTTATAAGCCCATCTATGTGTATACAGAAAAAAAAACTATTCCAGTTACAACCCCCCCAGCTATGTTTATGCCCTCCTCTAAGTTGTGAACCTTACCAGCGAGTATTTGCCTTTATGAGGAGTCTTCATCCAAACTTTGTCAATGCTTCCTTTGAAATCAAACCAAGTGTACCTACTACAGATAATAATAATTATTGTAAGTATACAACACTTAGACTTAGAATTTTAAATGCCACACCCTATTGAGGCAGTGTTGTAGTTTGAACTCCTTTAAGTTTGACAAGCATCCACGACAGTCAAGGTCATGTTCAGTGCCAAATGAAGAATGTCTCAGTACCCCAATCATGACCAGTGACCTTAGAAATGAATTATTTTGCCCAATTCAGTTACCTTGGTTATAATTTTGTCTGATTACATGATTTGGTGAGGGGTAATATTTTAAAATTAAATTATGTAATAGCTTAAATATTATGCTGTGATGTCATCAAGGAAGTCAGCTATTGTTTCTCTATATTTCCACAGATAAAATATCATTCCCTGAAAACCTTGATGACAGCTTTCAACAGGGATTACTCAGTAACATGGAGAGTGCCTCTGAAAACACTTTAAAAACAGACAATCTGCCTCTCTCCCAGGGATTACCAAATCCACAGACACTTGTGGAAGAAAGGAAAAAGCCAAAATCTGCAGCCAATAGTAGAAGTAATTATAATGCAAAGGAAACAACTATGATCAAAACACCAAAACAGCAGTTCAAAATTCCTGAAACACCCTTACTAGAAAATATTTCTCAAACATGTATCACTAAACTTGGCAACTCATTTATTCCTGGGACACCACAATGTCACCAGAAGAGAAGGGGGCTCCCCAGTTCCACAGTGCCAGAAAGACTTTTCTTTTCCAAAACACCTACGGCACAGCTGAATAACAAGGAGAAACAGATCAGATTAAAGTGTGTAAGGACCTATGGCAAGACACCTGACTTTGTGCAAGTAGTTCCAGAAACCCCCAAACTAAACTTAAAATCAACTGATGAGTTATCCCTATATGACTAGAGTTGTACATGTATTTGAAAATCAGAACCTGACAAAACAACAAAATTGTCTCACTTTGGTTTATTCATATCATATTACAGTTGTAGTTCATAAAGACCATCCAAACCATTTACTTCCTAATGTTTTCTTTATTCATGATGTTCAGCTAAATGAAAGTTACACGCGATTAAAAAACGTAGCAATTTTTCAAAACCTTAATGTTATACAACACATCTAAAGCAGCCCAAAAGATGCACTTGAGTTTGGGTCCAGTTTTTTCTGTTACTTAGAATAAGGCAAAGCTCTTAAATCCCTTGGTGACTCACTGCACCTCACTCAACATGATATCTAACATAATGGATGACAGTAACTGACAGCAAGCATAAACCTCACCTTGGCAATGGCACTTTAGGGCAACCTGATAAACTAACATCCCAACCAGATCAAGTGGCAATATTTGAAGTTGTTCATAAATTATTAAAAAGATAATTTTATCTTAACAACACCCATGACTCATGATGTGTATATGATAAGCCCTTGCTAGGTAGCCATGTACAAATATATGTGGCCCAACATTACAATTAATTAATATATGTAAAGTATTGGTCTGATCTTCTGTAGCAATATTAGCATGGCTGTCTGTAAATCATAGTAGTCAAAATATTTTGCAAAGGAAGAAACACAAAGGAACTTCAGAATAGGGGTGAGAGTAATAATGAGGTTAACTTACTTGAAACAAAGTCACATGTGCAATATGTATATCAACAAAATTTTGAACCAACATGTACCTTTTTTTTTTTTTGCTTCTTTCCTTGGATAATTTATTTCTACATGTATATTACAGTATGTACAACACTTTTTTTCAGTAACTTGTTTTGGAACTAGCTAGCGGTTCAGTAATCAATTGATAATTACTTTAAACATTAATTGGCAGCTCCAGCCCCTAACTAATTATAATTATGATTTGAAAAATATTTTACCTTATAAAATTCACATCGAAAATTCGTTCTTGACAAGGTACCAGCACCTTTTTCTTAATGTACATATTAAATCCACCAGTACTCAACTTTGTTAAATCATGATAATTTTACAACAAACTATGGATTCTCTGAAGAGTGAACCACAGGATTACATGTAATTACAGGGGAACTCCTGAGATCCTCAGTGCTGTCTGAGAAAACTTCATTGTTTTGTGAATTTGTGGCACCATTTTCTAATTCCTCATTTGCCAGTGGATCTACATAAGGTGGCGGAGCACCTTCACCATCCACTGGGGGACCTAGGCTACCCATTGCTTCCACCTCAGCATAAGATGGTAGTTTGTAATACTTAGGATCAACCATGGCCTCTGCATGGGCATTTGAGCATTCAGGTGATCTGGCCAGTGTTGTTGGGTAGATAAAGTTTCTGATTTGTCCATGATGTGAATAATATTTTCTGCGGTGGTATGCACAGCAACAAGCAAGGACAGTGATCAGTCCCCATACCAACCAAAACCCTGTTATCAGGCCAGAAAGGAAAATTAAATTTAAGATATTTGTGATATTAGTACTGGAAGCAGGTGATTAAGAAGTTGAAAGAACACCATAACAGACTTGTGAACTTTAGCTTTATCTTGATAAATATTTTTTTCTCTTGAGAGGGGGCGGGGGAGTTGGACAACTACCAGTACAAAATGACAAAACATGCATTACACTACATTTTATGTTGTAAACAGAACAGAGTATGAAAAATGCACAGAATTGCAAAACTAAGAAGGGAAAAGCATTCATGTAAAACTAACTTAACTGAAACACTGCTCTGAAATTTTTCTTAACCCCCCTCCTCATGAATTAAAAATAAGCCTACCCCTAATGGCGAAGGTTAGCTGAAAAATCGCACAGTGCTTATTAAAACCACCATATAATACTGAGTTAGTTGAGGAGTTAATTGTGGAAGACTTAATTTGCCAAGAGCTAGTAGATCTTTCTAAAAGGTTTTTGCATAACTCCATATCAGGGCCTTGGAAAAGGAAAATTGTTCACTTACACCATGCCTCGTAGTACTTGAAGTAGGTGCAGCAGTCAAAATCTCCACAGCAATGACCTGGACAAATTGCATACAATAAATAATTTATGTGCTATATATGTATCAAAGGTAGATTTTACGATAACTGCAGAATTTCTTGTGCCTCATTGGCTAATTTTTATTGTCAATGAGCGGACAGACACATGAATTTATAATTTATGCGATGTGTCAACGAGTGAGAGCGAACTGTGATCGTAAAAAACAAATTGAAGTCAGTTTTTAATGCATCTGTCCTGTTATTGACAATGAATTTCGTGATATATAACATTGTCAAAGTAGTCTGCGGATCCACTCAGCTATCACCTATGGAATCACAGCTACTTTGACAATGTTATGATGAAATTAATCATCAATAACAGGATAGACACATGAAACACTGATGTCAATTTGTTAATTTAATTTCAACAGATCAGTTTGATCTTTTATGATAAAAATAAGTAAAATCACTGAACCAGAATATATCCATAAACTAAACACCCCATGAAAGGTTATTAGAAATTCCACGGGGCAGTAGGGGGATGGGGAGTCTAGAAAAGCCAAAGAGTAAAAGAAATCTTCGTTTCACCAGCCATTAGTTCTCTAGCTGGCACATTATGAAAGCAGGGAAGGTCACTGACTGTTACAGATCTAAACTGCGCCAGGGCAGCTATAACTTTTAAGTATTCTTTTTGTTGCATACACGCTGAGAGCACTGGAATGAATGTGCAGGGTTTATTAGTCTTACCTTCATTACAGAAGTATTCCTTCCCATGAAGCTTTCCGCAATAGTCTCTAGCCTAAACAATAACATAGACGTTTTTGCTTTAAGGCGTATCCGTTGGCATTCGTGTGAACAGCAGTCGGAAATGCGGAATTCTTTATACGCGGCAGAGTTGTTACTAGTATGCTAGAATACTATAGCGCAAACACAAATGTTGCCAAGTTTACAACTAATTATGCAACTCGGCACAAGTATTTCTTTGGTAGTAAATATTGTCTCAGCAACCATGCAGTGCTTGATTATGTATGAGTGCACTTGAAGTGTGTTCCATAAACAAAAAAGTTTCGTAACGAGTTGTCTGTGGTAAATAAGCTTACAGTAAAAAGTAAAAGTCCGATCGATTATGCAAGATATGTAAAACATTCCTATCTTGAGGACATCACTTGTTGAGCTCTTAACCAAAAATCAGTAACTGTTCAGCTAACAAAGTGACTTCAGCAAAACTTTGTTTTGAAATTAGGATTCGAAACTGTGCAGAGCCACACGTACGTACAGATAAAAAATGATCTGCTTACCCAACCTTCTCCAAAACCGAGACTCGCTGTCGTCAAAAACCAGATTAAGATTGATTCAAACCAATCCATACCACTACGAATTATAAGTAAAGATCAGTAAAAGCAGTTAGGGAAAACATCCATTATCGTATTGAATAATGATTCAGTTTACGTTTATCAGTCTTCAACGACGCGACGCTTGACCGGTGGCCAATGAGAAGAGAGTCACCTCAAGCATCCTTTGATTTGTCACGCTACGTCACGTTACGTCACGCAATGTCAGTGGGCCCATAATTTCCCAGTACATTCTGGAGAGAAATTGGTTAATAAGAAATTTGTTATACGACTACAAAATTTAAAAAGAAAATAATAACATTAACCCGGTTCCCATGAAACTTTTGCCCGATCCAGTTAGAAATTTTAAAATGGACCAGCAGAGTGGGCGACGCCCAGCCATTTTAGATGTCAGAAACGGAAATCTGTTTTCCGAGACGTCCGCAAATGCAGTAGGCGCGCTTGATCAGAGGAAAATCAAACTGATGTCCGAAAATCCAGAGTAAAAGTTAGATTCTACGATTTCTTGGGAATTATTTAAAAATTCTTCCTCATCAGAGTCTTATTCTTCGAGTCTTATTCTTCTTGAACGAAGAATAAGACGTCCAAGAAGAATAAGACTATGAGGAAGAATTTGAATTACACAGCGATTCTTTAATTTTCACTTCTAGCGATGGAAGCGACAGCGAGCTACAGCGATTACAGAGAGGAAGCTTTAACATTTGCAGGCGAGGAGCCAGGAGTCCACTTGCACAAAGAGAGCAAAATTGACGGAGGAATGAAAACGGAAACAAAACTCAGGATTAAAAGTTAACCGAAGTATTATTTTTTTTTACTGCATATTGATTATTCAAACGCAAAACTGAAGGACAAACAATGTAAACCGAAGACCTCACTCAAAAAGTTACAAAAATGGAATCAAAACTCTCGCTAATCTAGGGCTTTGAGCAACCCAGCCCTGTAAAAATGGGTAGCATCCATTCCAAGGAGGAGTTAACAAATACTCCTGGTCGCTTTAACCTGAATAAGCTCCGGTGGTATGGACCACTTACGTCGAAAGTACAGAAAACTAAATGACACACCACTCCTAACCCTAGGCACCAACCCTTTTTTTTTTCAGTAACGCCTGCAATGTCGCTTATGTCGGATTTCCCATCACCATATATGCTCCTGTCCTCACCTATCCCATGGGAATAGTCGATGCGCGAGGGAATTATTTCCCTCCGGTCTTTCAGTGACGAGAACTCTAACCCTAACTTGCGCTAACCTTAACCCTATAGCTGCTACCCAAGCCTTTTTTTATTGGGGTAGCGGAATGAGGGTGGGTGGGGGGGGGGGGGGGGGGGGGTGATTTGGTACAGTCACGATTTTTTTTAACCTTTTTATAGAGTAAATGTTTTTCTAGAGACGTTTTCTTTCGGTAGAGGTCGTGTGTATGAATTTCGTTTTGATAGAAGTNGGGGGGTTCAAAAATGCCCGCAATCTCGGATTTCTTGGAATTCCCCTCAGCTGTCCCATGGGAGTGGTCAATGTGCAAGGGAACTATTTCCCTCCGGCCTTTCAGTGGCGGGAACTCTAGCCCTAACTTGCGCTAACCCTTAAAACCTTGGTCAAACGGTGCATGATAGTCGATGATAGTCGATGATATTTGAATGATTCTCCCCGAATTTTCATCGACTATCAACTATCATGCGCCGTTTGACGAAGGCTTTACCCTGGCTAACAACCCTATTTTTGTTTTCAGACTCCTGTAATCTCAGATTTCTCGGAAGTCCCCTCACCTATTTCATAAGAGTAGTTGACGCACAAGGAAATTATTTCCGACCAACCTTTCAGGGGCGAGAACTTTACTTGTTACCCTTTTTTAAGGAAGACTACTTTCTGAAACTTAAACTGGTAACTTTTCGAAGAATCCTTGTCCCAAATGAACTGAACTTAAGTTTTCTACATCGTCCCTTGTTGATACCCGACAATAAAAAATCTGAAGCGCCGATGCCGACTCCTTCTCGCCGCTCACATTTGACTGAGAACTAGAAAAGAAAGGGCCACTGGGGCCAGAGTAAGAATGCCACCTGACGTTTCGAATTGCACCAAACGATCAAACGAAGCAGGATTCCAAGATGCGTTTTAATTTGTACAAACAAGACATACAAGAAAATTAAAGCTGTAGGCGAATAAAAAACCTCGACTTTTACACTACAGGTGAGTAAATTACAAACATTTTGCTGTACAAACCTTGCAACAGAAGCAAACCAGGTAATATAGATATCGTACACCAACATCCATTTTACACAGTCAGCTGGCATCTGAAGAATCTGCGAACTCTTCTGTTGGCAGGCATCAAATTTACAACACAGTCAATTATGATTCATGTCCATGAAACTATGTGGTTTTACACTCTACCGGAACACCAAGTAAAGTAAACAGAATGTGCGTACAAACTAGCAGTCTTTATCTTGAAACCCCGATTTTGTATTTCATAAATTATATATTCTAATCACCTCGAGGATTGGCGCAAAGACTTTTTCAAGTATTTTCCAGCCAGGACACGATTGAGGAAACGCTTCAACCCATTCTCCTCGCGGCTCTGGTCGAGACTTCAGTGTATCGTGTGTGTTTGCCCTGACACAGGAGCTGAAGGAGCTGAAGGAGCTGAAGTTTCAGCTCATTTCAATCCTCCGTGGCACACAAATGCGATAAAGCTGCCATAACGTCTCTTTAAAACATTACTCTCCTTTGGTCAACGAGGAAATGGGTTCTATTCTTATGCAATCGATGTCCATCAATATGGCCGCCGTGATAGAGCTCTATTCAACAGAGATTTATTTCTATGGAAAGGCTAAATACATTTTGTTTAGTCATTATTTGTTTGTATTTAGGGCCATTTGCTCTCTCTTGGAAGCTCAGCCGCAGAAAATATCTTGACCATCCAACCAAAGCCTCTTTTAGCTTATAAGTATCTGCAGGTTGTGCAGTTATTCAAAATTCAAGATTTCTAGATCACTATTAGATGTGGGCCCCAGAGACGTGACTTGATTTGACTGCTACTGTATGTGTACTTCGTCAGTACTCATCATCGTCATCGTCATCGTAGTAATCCAAGTCCGGATCCGCATCCAACGTCTGAAAGTCCACACGATACCTCAAAATACCTGAAGGAAACAACACAACGGTTATCACACTACAAAAACAGACTTTTCAGTTATAGAACGAGTGCCTAATTGTGCGTACACTTGAACTTGAACTGCAGTGGTCCACTTGAAACGTCGGTTCTGGATTTATTTAGCGTTAGTTTTAGGGTTAACAACTCATCGTTAGGTATAGATCTAATCTTAAGGGCTTTGGTTTCAATAATACTGCAGTCATCCTCTTCTAACTACAATACTGACTGCGTGCAGACCACTAAAAGTAATGATCATTACATGCTGTTACTGTGACAAGAGAACGCAATAACGAAATAAGAGCCCGCAGCGGACTTCATCTTAAGAATCGCGCTGCAGTTAAACATTATTGGTACAGTGTGCACAATATCTGCGGTAACAAGACAACAGTGCATGCAGCAGTACATACCTCCAATTCCTCCAAAACCTTTACAAAACTGTGCTCCTTCTTGAGATTTATCTGTTATGATTTCAAGTGTTGCACCTAGTCGGTGGAAAATTTGTTCATGTTCAGCATCAAGGAAAATTACGCTCAGCAGGTCTAAGTTTTCAAGTTTTGGAACTAAAATGCGTTTACTAACACATATCCATGTACCTACCAAAGGTTTTATAATTGTTTGCCAGCCACTCCAAGAGAGGAAGTTTTTCTATTAGCTCCAGTTCCACTCCAGTCTGTGCAAGATAAAGAACACAGCAAATGGTTGACAAGATTTGTCATTTGAATAAAAAATTATTGGATGAGGTTTTTGTGATATCGGTAATATAATCAAGGTTGAGGTAGGGGTTATCAGCTGAAGCCCAAGCTGAGGCTGATAACCCTTACCAAGACCTTCGTGATTCTGGATAACCCAAAAACCGAATCTAATAATTGTTTTATATCACATTGCTTCTATTCACTGACGGCAAGCAACACAAAGCGCGCAAACTTGACATGATTATTGTATAATCTGCAGCTAGATGACGTCACAGGCGCTGATTTCGAAAACTCACTGTACACTTTTGGCCAATCAGAAAAGAGATAGTGAGTTCAATGTATAATAACAACATTATTGTTAACAACTGTCTAGCGAGGGCATTGCAGCAGAAACCTGTAACCCTTTATGCTTTATTCTGCCTTGAGTGAATGAGTCAAAGGGATCTCAGTTCTACTGGCATGATGCAAAAAAAAAATGAAAAAGAGATGGATAAACTCTGCCACAATAGTGATTGTTATGCCCATGTACCTCACTGTCGAGAGAGTATGTCTTGTCTTTCTCTTGTTCAGGATTAAGATGTAGGATCTTTTCCTCTAAGAATGAAAGGTACATTTAGTAACAATTGATATACACCTGTACAATGCATGCACCATACCAGTGAAATATGTGAAGCTACACCTGTACATGTAATTAAAGTACAAGTAAGTTGGTTGAAATTGCATGCAATTTAATGCAAATTATCAACAACGTATACAAAATTTCCAATTTCAGCAAAGATTTTGAACAAAGCCTTTTGAGACTACATATGTATGCATTTTACATGTACATGTATGAACTTTTTAGAAAAATGTCAAGTGCTGAGTAAAAATCTCTGAAAGCCAAAAAAATTTTTCCCCTCTCTGAAATCAATTTTGTTTGCCATTCACATTGGGTTCCAGGCATCATGGATTAGACGAGAGAAAATGATATACCGGTAATCTAAAAGCAAATGTGAATGAACAACAAAAAAAATTAACTAAATATATAACAGTTGTAACATATCACAAGTTCTCAACAGTTCTTGCAAAAAATCAGGTCAAAATGAAATCATGGCCTTGACTTACCATCTGTTTGGTGATTTTTCAAAACAATGCGATGGATTTCCAAATTTTCCCATACAATAAGTATGTCCACTGCTCCCATTTCAAGGCCCTGGAAAGTAAATGTTTTAAGTACAGTTCATTTGAGACTGAGCATACAGAGTAACTTTGCTTCTCTGTCCACTTACATGGACCAATGAATTGATGGTGTTAAACGGGAAAAAAATATTTATTCAGTATTTCAACAGCATGCAATACATGTTATGGATGTTGCTGAGTGGTAGCCCTTTGTACAGATTGTAAGTTTATGACCAGTGCTCTAGATACAGCTGTAATACTGCAAAATATGCACAGTCTTGTTTAGTGTTATTATATAAACTTCAAGACAAGTACAAATTACTATATTTCAGTACTCTGTTTGAAATTATCAAGTGTGATATACTAGTGATATGCAGTTATATCATATGGAAAAAGACCATGGATCTGCTGACAAACCTTCAAAGTATCATCCACGCCAAAGCAATATTTTCCAGTGTCTTGTGATATTTCATCAAAGTATCTTCCTGTGTGTTAATAAGTTAAACGCAGTTAGACACGGTCCACCACACCGTTCAGTCTACTCCACTGGCTTAAGGGTGTATGAAAGACACAACATTTAATGAACAGTCTATATGCAGATGCCTGGGGCTGCCCTGAAAAAAGGACAAGAGTTGCTGGAGGCAAAACCAAGTTAGAGCAACTTTAGCTTCTTGACTGCTCTCAAACTTGCTAAAGTGCAACAGAACTCCATGATGCACAGTTTAAAGCATACATCAATTGTTTTTATAACATGGATAATCGCAATGGCAAACCAAAGAAAACTTGGCTCATGTAATAAGCGTGCATTATTGGAATATGATGCAAGCTTACATGTTATACTGACTTATAATGAGAAATTTTAGAATACCAGTATATCGTTAAATTTAATGTAATTAATAAATTCACCTATAAGCTTCTTTTCTTGAATGAACTTGACATTTGCAAGAACCTCTGATGCAAGTTCAATTGCCTGAAATAAAAGGAAAACCTACTTACAAATTTGCAGCGTATGCAGTGAGGCTGGTAGATTTAAAGACATGTACATGTATACAATGTAGAAGTTCATCCTTGTTTTGCCATGGAATTCGTTTCCTTGAAAAGACTGATTCTGGTCAGAGCCCCTTTACTAGTCTACTCAGTAAACGAACAGTGTACGTAGTAATGGTAACTGCCTGGTTACATGGAATTACAGGGACAGGATTGATCAGGTACAGTGTACTGTTAATGTTTAATAGCAAAATTGATTCATTTGCATTTGGAAACTGTGAAGTGCTTTCAAATAAACTAACCTGATTGAAACCATTTTCACCACCATAGGAAACGTCTACAAGCTTCAGCACTTTAGTCTGTAATCTCTACAAACAAACACACAAAATAACATTAATCTGTTTTAAATGCAATTTTTTAAAAAAAAAAAACAACAACAAAAAACAAAATCAGGATGAATAATATTAATTTTGTTGCGAAAAATATGTGTTTGAGCCCGCAAAATTCTCCAGTGTGTGAACATTCTGCTCAGTAGAGCAAACTGACAATGGAGAGTGAAAAGACTCAATAGGCTACAAAAACCTGGTTACTCTAGACAGCATAAAACCACACATGTTATCACTGTATTATGCATGGGGAACAGCTGTCACTAGTACCAACATACATGGATACTGCTAAATTTAACCTTGTTCACCCACAATATATCCATGACTGTACACCACATTTATTTATTTCAAATCCTTGTTTGTATAATTTATAAAATAACACACGCAGAAGTAGTGATCATAAGCAATGGCGGCTATTTCTACAGCATGAAGCAACTACAGGGTACCCCTGCTTGTCCACTTTGGGTTACCCTCAACACTTTGGTCACATTTACATGTAATGTTTATATGACTGTACGACCCTCAAAATTCAGTGGTACATGTACATGTACCCACTTTAAGCCCCTAGACAAGGGGAAAGAGGCACTCTTGGGGCTTTGTTAAAAAACATTGTAAGTACACAATGTAGTGAACATAGCTATATCTCAGACTTGGACTTCTAAATCCATCAACCACAGTTAACAATGTATTGTTGTGGTACTGCATCTTCCACTTTATGTACCTGACATGAACAAAAATGGATTTTCTATTCTACAAAAACTGTCTGGTTATAAAAATACCAGACTTACCTGATCAAACATATCTGATTGACTTAGTTCAGTCTTGAAATCAGCTGATCCAGCCAAGATTAGACCAGTAATGTTTGGCTAACAGAAGATAAAAAAAAAACAAACCATTTTTAAGCAATATATGGGCACTATTCAGTTGTGAACCACCACAACCAAAATGCTTGTTTTTCAAAAGGGAGGGAAACTGGAGTACTCAGAAAAAAAAAACCAACAACCAACAAGTGAGAACCAACAAGCTCAACCCACATATGGCACCAGGCCTGAAAGTCGCTAAATACAGTACCTCTCTAACTCTCTCTAACTACTATGCCATCCCTGCTTCCCAGATTTAAGTGGTTGCACTAGAAGATCTTCAAACCACTTTCGTCTCTAATGTACATGTAACATTTTACATACTCTGTCATTTGTGATGAAGAGCTGAACAGCAGTCTCTGCAACTTTTCTGACATAATTGTGACGTTTCTCCATTCTCAGTCGAGCAAAACGCAAGGCAGACTGGCCACCACGCCCTATGGAAAAGGTTTAGCAACAGCTCAATGTTACGTACATGAACATGTTACTATGGGGTTTTGATTTTTTTAATGCTGTTAGATGAGTAAATCAACTTTATACAAGGGTCTTACAGCAGAGTTACTGACCGTGCTTCTTTGGTAGATCAACAGTAAACTTGTGAAGAACTTCTCTTGTGTTGCCACAGAGTGTACCAAACAGTGCACCATTACCATCCATCACGATAAACCCAAACTTGTTATCATCTGCTAGGAGAGCATTCAGGGCCTGATGGCAAAACAAAATGCTTGATTAGACAGCTAAGACTTTTTTTTTTAGTGCTATCATCACACAACTGCAACAATTCTTTACCAGCTCATTTGCAGTCAAATCAAACCTGTGCCTTCATTAAATGTACATGCAATGTCCATGTAGAGATGGGTATGTAGTCTGACAGTAAGCAGAATTGTTCATTTCAATTCACACCTGCCTGCTAATCAGACAAACATATTTTTCTTCTTCCATATAAAATCCAACAAGCAACCAATATTCTGCTTTTGGATACTTGCATTCTATTAAGTTATGGAAGTTCAGTTGTGATGCAATGAAAGCAGTTATTTTATGCAAGTATGTAGATTTGAGATTGTGTAGAACAATTCTGAAAGTCACTTGTCCATATGAAGGAATCACTGCTACAAGCTATTACATTCCAACACCACACACAATTTAATATTAGAGAAACTAATTGTTACACAATTTGTTGAACATACCTCTGTGTGAAACTTGTTATCGCACAGGTACAGAGATGTATTGATTGGTTTAAAGGGCTCGAAGTCTATGTTGACTTTCTTCTCCTTCCCATCATCAGTTACAATAGTTCCACAGTAAACAACAAGACCATTGGCAGGAACTGACAAAGAGAAAACATTACTGGTACTATGGCAGCCTCACAAACACATTAGAAAGAAGTTTCAAGAGAAAAATCACAGGAATCTCAGAAGAGATCACAGAGAAGGATGATTCCCTGCTTCCTTCCTCAGGCTTCTTCCATGAGGAAGGGAATTCGAAGGAGGAATGCACACAGGGATTGGACCTAGCAGGAGAAAGACAGATGGAGGGAGGCACATGTATGAAAGATGGAGAGGAGAGAGCAAGAGAGGGAATGTTGGATTGCAGGCAGCGCCAAAATTTTAGGTTCTTTCTATTTACTTGGGACCTAGAACTGTAGTGCTAGCTTCTAGAATTCCCATGTTCTCTGACAACAACTGTTGGTGATTAATACAGCCATGAGGAAACAAACCTTTGGAATAAAGCTTCAGTCTCTGTTGTACTGATGTGATAGCACTAAGAACTGACAACCTGCAAGAAATGGAATAACACATGTAAGCTGACAAGAGCCCAATAAACGACAGAAAGTAACAGTCAGCTTCAGAAAAAAGTTACCTGTTGACTCTACTCTTGATATTTGAAGCAGTGCCAAACTCATCAGCTAACATCTTTGCTACACGAGAAATTTGATCTTTTGGAGGGATGATTAACGAGATCATGCTTGTTCCATTTCTGAGGGAAAATAGAAACAATTAATTAATTATTTTAAGAGTCAGATTACATGTACATGTACATGCACACACTGTATATCTGCACTTTTCCTCTAGTCTAGACTCCAGAATAACAAAGCTTGTCTTAACATAGCTTATACAACAAGCGAAAAGGCAAGAGTGAGCTACACTGTACATGTATCTAGCCTGCTTCGGTTTGCCTGCATGACCTCAGAGGATGACGGCCTTTATTACACTAGACTATTCTTTAATGCCCGAGCTAGTTTGGTCAAGATGGCTGGATTTAATGTTTGAATCATGCTCTTTTATTAACATCATGTTTTATCCATAACCCACGTATACTTGATGTGTATATTACAGATTTAACTCTCATCAAGCTTTACCTTGTCTACACTGTAGTCTGACAGTAAGCAGAGTTGTTCATTTTGTATCACACCTGCCTGCTAATCAGACAAACAGATTTTCTCTCCTTCCACATGTAATCCAGCCAGCAACCTGTTTTCTGCTTTTGGATACTTTGTATTATTGTGGAAGTGTAACAATTATTATGCAGTTCCAACTACACAAGTTCTAGTCCCCTAGTACAAAATTTTATATTTGTATTGTTCTGGTTCCCTTTTACAAGTGTAGAGCTTATATATACATAGTGTTGTATTTACAAGTTAGCTCAACACTCACTTGGACTTTCTACATGTAGTTTAACTTGATTTTTGAATTGCATAGCTACTTGTTTGCAGGCTTGGCAGCGAGATAAGTTTCTTAGTATTCATTTTAATGGAGTTCACATACACCTGCCAAGTTTCTAGGTAATTTTTGATTAAATTTTTGATCCTGCTTTCTCAATTTAATTCTGAAGTCTATGACAGACAGCCATGTGTCAACAGACAGAGGCTGCTCAGAATTTTTAAACGATGTAGAGCATCAACAATGGGCATAACTTGGCTATTTTTACTTCAGAGGTCTACTGTTTCAATTTCTATGGAGAAGGAAAAAATTGACCATATTTCCCTGAAAGATTAATTATAGCCCAGGGAAAGTTAATCGCTGAGCGAGGAAGACGAAATACATGCCCGGTCGTACATTCTCTAAAAAAAAATTAAGTTTCTGTGTATCAACCCAGTGAAAATATTCATAAAGAGCAGTATAAACAGTTTCGTCATAAAGAACTGATTTAAACCTTGTAGTTTAAGACTAAGTTATCTTAAAGCTTACAGTACAGCAATGTGATCGAATTCCCCATACAAGGACATCTTTTTCACGAACTACTGTATCGTTAGTTAACTTAGAACAGATACACAACGTAAGTGCAAGTCTTTACTGCTGATCTTTCCTCACTGGTTCTCCAGATCAACTAACGTCGTTCACCATGTTTAATTTCTAACCCTACTCACCCTCTGGCCGCTTCCAAACTCTTTATAAGCTTCTTGATTTTCCATATTTCGACATTTCTATCCGCTGCTTCTGTAGTTTCGGCGGACATCGTAGAAATCTCTTAACAATATTACGCACACCAAACCTCTCAAACGGCGTTAATGCCGAAAACAAAAATCTTCGGGCACGTTAAGGTGAAGAATATCTTACACAATAAAAATCAACTACGAGTTTTCCTTGATTTTCCAGTTAAAACTAATAGAACTAACAAACGCGCTCTTCTTTGCCGGTAACTGCGCGAAAATGGTGCAATTTTTCCATATTTGGAAACACGTGCGTGGAACAGCAAGTTTAATTTGGGCGAGGGGAGGGGAGGGATCTCTAGAACTCAGATCTCCCACGGCCAAGCATTGAACAGAGTGAGGCTTGGGTAGGAGATTGGCTTTTCTCGCAAGAATCAACGAGATGTAACGTAACCCAGTTCAAATTCTAACTTTAATATTTAGTATTGCGACCACAAATAAAAGTTATCCATACTCATCACCTTCCGTTCCACTCAAGAAATTTAACAAAATTCTGGTATCCGTTTAGAGAAGGATCATTATTTTTTTTTNATTTTCGTTTCGCCTTTGCTATTATTATTGTTTCAACAGTTAAAATAGTCTGTTCACAGACTCTCTGTTTTGTCTTGAGTTCGTCAAGATCGCAAGCTTGGCGAAATATTAACCTGGCGCGTGGGATATGAACGAGTCAACTCGCGTGCCTTCCGCGAAAAAAAAAAAAAAAAAAAAAAGAGCAAGGAGAGCCGTGAGGAAAGAAATTAAGCAAGTGATTTTGACTATCCAGGTCCTATTTTTGATGTTAAAAAAATTCTGGCACAAGCTATTGCCCACCGCAAAAAATCACGCACAACTTCAAGGTGAGAAAAAAAGTGTAACATCAGTGCAAAAAGTGTAACACCAGTGCAAATCACACATTGAAATTCTGGATTATGATTGACTGAAAGAAAATAGGAACTTTTCTAAGAAAATGATATCACGTAAAATGATGACGAAAATTTTGTGCTGAAACTTTGAAAAAAGTTTTCTCAAATGAGAAAAAATGGCTTCAAGAAAGGTCTTCCGGTACTTCCTCCGTGCGAATTTTTTCATGTTTATATTATTACTAAGTAATCATACGGTTTTTCTCGTTCAATTTGGAGTTAATTTGCACTTGTGAGTTTTTCAAAAAGCTGAAATTACACTCGCCGAAGAGGGCTCGTGTAATTTCAGCTTTTTGAAAAACTCACTCGTGCAAATTAATTCCAAATTGAACTCAAAACTCTATGATTACCTATACTAAATGTAACGCATAGATTGTAATGCATCTAGATACATATTCTGTAGACTGTTTTGACTGTAACTTTAGTGAAAATTTAGTTGTAATTGTTTGTGCAATTAAAAAATAAATAAATAAAGAATTTCCTCATGTTGCTATTAAGTCACTTATAGAAACATTTGTGAAAGTTTGGGAGAGCTGAAAATCAGCTGTGGAAACACTTACCTATCGGCCCATGTTCCCACAGCATTTCTTGCTCTCCCAGACTTTCACTCATGTTCCTAACACAGTTGACCCATAAGCCACCACCTCTCCTCAGCGACCAGTTTTCCAAGGTACCAAAAGTTTCCAAGTCAAATCAGTATATTTCGAATCTCTTGCAAGCGACCACCTCTCATTAGTGACTGTGACCACTTTTAGAGCTAAAAGTCTGACATTTTCTTTTGTTTTTAACCTCCCGTACTTGACTCCCACTTGACAGATAATAGAGCGTAAATTAGATAAGGTGTTTAACATTATCGCATTTCTGGATGGCACGAGAGACGGAAATTTCTCAATGGGAAGTTCTGGATTTTTTCTTGAAATTTTTTCTCTGCAGTTACCATATGCTAATGAGGTAAAATTTTGACCCAATATGGTCTGAGCCCTCCTAAGCGACCACCTCCCGTAAGCGCTTACAGGAGGTTCGACTGTATATAACTCAATAGAAATGCAGTCCAAAGTGTTTCCTGTTTTAAGATACAAGGGAGAACACTTAGAAATGTTCTAAATCGTTTGCTGTGATTGTACTGTTATGGCTGAGTATGCTTGAATTTCCCTTGATGCCATGGGTAAAATTGCCTGTTGCTGATAGAATTCACCCACAAAGTAACAAGTTTGCTATATGGGTGTGGAGAACAAGGCAACAGGTGACTCAAAATGTAATGACAGCCCTGTACTGTAACATTTGATTTTCTCTAAAAATGTACCACATAGGACCAAAATAAATTCCCCTCTCAACTCGTGAAGGGGTTTTGATAGTCAAGGCTTAATTAAGAATATGTACAATTTGTTCTAACATAAGTTCTTTGTATTAGTTGTCTCAAGTGAGGTACAAGGATTATCTTGGTTATGCAACTTTGTGATCCAGCTTAACTTCTATCCTGTTCAAACAGTCCCTGTAGTACAAGCCATATTGATAATGTTCATGCAAGGCTTGTTGTTTTGAGTCTCACTGCAGCCTTGACCCAACTTGCTATTAAACCTTCTCTGTGCACCACTCAAGTTTCTAAAGTAGGACACCAGATTTCCTTGCTGAAGCTTCCATGGATTTTTGCACCTGGCTAGTTCCTTATCTTTAACATGTAGTGCTGGATTCTACCATCAGGTGCTCTACCTGACACCCAGCTAGACAAAAAAAAAGAAATTAACAATTCAGATGACAGTCAGATGACCGAGTACAAATCATACAGTCAGACTGTCTGGGTATTACAAAGGTAACAGTCACACTCTGAAAACTCATTACTGTTCTACATTGTACTTAATCATCATTTCAAAACTAGCAGAAATGTCATTGGTGATAGGTGAATAAAGATGGTGAATTTAAATTAAACTTAACATTAAAAATTTGCCATTTTTATTCACTTATCACTACCCTTGATGACTTTGACAGTGCTGATCCTAGCAGTATGCAGGACGCCATACATATGAACTCAGTTAAATGACCTTGCTCTCCATGAGTTCTCATAGCTCAGTGGATAGAGACTGCCTTGTGTTCAGCAGGTCATGGGTTTGATTCCTGTTAGGGACTCAGATTTTTTCTTTGTCCCATGCTCATATCATGTTGATCAATTCAACTTTCACAATGTCATTGGTGTTTGCTTAGGATTAGCTTAAGATTAACTAGGGGTAAGAGGTTATGGAGAGGCATAGAGTTATTTCTTCGTGAACCAATAACTAATCATAAACATTCCCATACAAACTAATATTTATTTACTTATTTATTTATTTATTTATTTATTTATTTTTTGCTGTTACTGCTATTACATAATACCCAGGAGTGTCTAATCAATTAAATTGATGATCAATGTCAATTGAAACCAATCAATACCTATCAATACCAATTAATCAATTGATATTGATAATCGATGGTCAATCGATGAAGAGGATCTGTATGACCTTTTATGGATTGTCATCGATTTCCAATGACAATCAATGGCCCAGTTGGTACCAATTGGTATGGATTGGCTTCAAATTTTGTCATGTTTTACAATCGACAAGTTTTTGGGAATAGCCACTCAATAGAGATCGTTAACAGATTTTTGTTGTAATAACTTAATGATAAAAAGGTTCTCATTTGCGCAGTTAAAATTCACAACATGCTTACAATTGTGATTGTCTATTGCACTTAAAACATTTCGCAGTTTCTTGTCCCATTCTCTCCTTCCAGCTTCGATCTTGCCAAGATCTTTAAATCTTTTCAAAATGGCACTGCGTAGTAGTGCCATTTTGATAAGAATGGGACAAGAAACTGCGAAATGCTTACAATTACTAAGAGCAAACACAAACTCATAAAAACAAGCAAAAACAAGCTCAGATTGAAGGTGGCTGAGCAGCCCATGTTCTCTAGTAACTTTTAACGCATTTCCACCTTCTCCCCTTTGCTACAAGCAGTAAACTGCCTACCAAGATTTACATGTACTTTGAAACAAAAAAGATAGTATCCTTCAATGAATGCGTTCACTGAGAGTTCTACTTCGGTTGAAATTACAAGAACAATTAAAGCCTGGTTACTGTGGTATATGCTTAGTGTTGAGATGCTCTGGAACTTGTACTGCCAATTATTAGCAATGGATGAACAGCTTTAGTGTAACTATATCGATTGATCATAATTGACCCATATCAATAGATACCAATTAACATTTTTTATCAATTGATCGATTGCTTTTCCGATCATCGATTTCCATCGATTGAACATCCCAAAACAATTTAAGAGTTGTTTAACACTACCACTGAGTACCACTTAACAACAGACATCTAGTGGGATGTAGAAGGCCTCAAGCTTAACTGCACGCAAACATTGTCAGTGATTCATGGTCACTACCCTTATGAACCTAAACAAATCTAACCAAACCGGTTAACCCGAGCACGGAACGTTGCACATAGACTCACACAAGTTAGCTCCCACGGAAATTGAGCGGGTACACGTACAGAAATTTCACCCTTTCCAAATGTAAAGGATAAAATTTTAATATAAAAGTAACTAGGACGACCTAAACACGACTATTCTTATCACAGATCTGAGTAAACTAAAGCAAATTCGATAGCTTAAATTAAGCTTCAGCTTAAATTATAGGAAGGATTTCGGAAGGATTTTAATGAGACATTTTTCCTCCATGCATTATTTTCTATTCTACTCTCGCCAGCCTGATGGCCAAAATACGTTAAATAATTGATCTTACCATTGGTAGGACTTCCTCCTTCTTTCCACAGCTTTTCCTTCTTGCTTGAAAGCAAAATATAACACCAAAATCGGATGCATAACTCCGTTTTCAACAACACGACACCAACAACCTTCGCCTGCTTTACCCTTACCTCTTTCCTAGTCTACCTCAGATCGAGGCGTTTTTGATGCATCATGGGAGAAGGAAGTGTCTGCGAGATTTGCCTGAGAAACGAAGCTTCAGGGGCAGACTAGTTTTAATAAGGACATCAAATTTCCAAGGGAAAACTACAGATAGTTCTGAGACTGGTTCTGAGACATAAACACTCTATTGTCTTTATTGCTAACCACCAATTTTACCGCCGCGCGTCAGTTCAAAAATCCTATTGAATTATTTTCAACATTTTTAGATGAAAGGAGTAAAAGCCAAATATACTCAAATACAACAAATTGCGTCTTTCCATTATTTTTTTCTATAGTGGCCCGCTTGTTTACAGAAAAAAGAATTTCAGGGACGAGTGCTATCCATGCGGGTATTTCCCTCGGACGGGCACTATGGGCAGATAGTGTCTCTCCGCCAATGAACACACGAGCGTCACTGTGGTGAACTATAACGCATGGTAGTTGACGAGGGCGCAGCCAAATTTCCGAGTTACCTTTTGCCTCTGAGTCAAAACGAGTTCCCGTGCAAAACCATTCCTATGAAAATGAGTTCCGCCTACAGGTTCATTTTTACGCAAATCAAACTTATTTTCATATGAAAGGTTTTGCACGCGCGCACGATCCCGAGGACTGGTTTTGACACAGACGGCACGAGGTAACTCGGAAATGGCCTATTGACTGCAATGAGCGAATAATTTAATGATCAAATAATCTCATTGTTTGAGTATAAATCTATTAATCGTTCACAAACTTTATCAAAATCCCAAAAATCCTCTTCTCACACACTTCAAAAACGCATAGAGGTGGCTGCCAGTTTGTTAACAAGTGCACACTACTGGGCTACTCAATATTTACAACAGAATAGATAATGAGGTATGAATTTTTCATCCGCTTAAAAACCGCAATTAATTACGTCATGCCAAGCCCACGTGAAAGTGAAAGCACTTCCACGCTAGCTTGCAGATAAACCGAACAATCGAATTGCTTAGGCATTGCATTCCGTCCTATTTGGCAAAAGAACAGAATATCTGAAGAAACTGAACGGTGAGTAAACGACTTCTGAAATTTCATTCTATTCCAGTCCATGTGTTACGATGTATGTTTGCATACAAATAATACTGACCTTGTTCAAAGAAGACATTATATGCTTGCTAAAAAGCTCAAAACTTCAGAACTTTTTAGGGCCGTTAAATTCAACGTATCAAATTCAACGTATCAGCCTCAACCGCTAGTGTAATATGAGAAGGCGGCAACGCCTTAGAAGATTTTGTACATATTTGAAAGTAAATCTATTTGTTTTAATGTCGCATTGATTGCATTTCAATACTCTTTTAAACTGCCGATTTAATTGCATTTAATATATACATGTACATTAGTTGTTATGTACTGTAAAACTGCATTTTTTTGTATTTTAATATCTAGAAGTAATGTACTGTACACGACCCCAGAAGCTTTTCAAATTTCATACAAATCGTGTATAAATATAGGCGACCTACCTACCTACCTATGTGCATGTATGCTGAACGAACTTGGACTGTGGCAAATCTCTTCGGAAGGTCTAGTTTCGCCTGCAACCTTCAGATGTGGTTGTCACGAAACTCCGGAGTCTTATTAATAATATTGTCTTATACTTTCGTAACATGACAAAATGCATATGAGTTCTTTTCGTTTTAACTTCCGAGGGTTAAAAACGAATAGGCTATGGTCGTCGAATGGAACTGACAAGTGTGTAGGAAGATTAAATAGCGTCAGTAAATGACACTACAATTTTCTGCAACGTCAGCAAGTATGTATATAATCAGAAGATAAAAAACTGTGTTATGATGCACAAAGATCCTTTTTGAGAGTGTGAAAGAATACCGTGCAGGAGCGCACGTTCTTGATCAATCTACAGTGTAATGGTTTCGTTCTTCCGCCCGCCTAGCTGTACCCAGTCTAATATTGGAATGCGGCAGCGCCTATCAATAACCTTAGGGGAACTCATTCATTTAGCGCAGCTGTACACTATATAGATTTCCTTGAGTATTTCAACTAACGATAGTATAGTGATCGAAATTTTTGTATTTAAAATTGCTCCTTGTATCTACGACATGATGTTTCTTGTTTGGAAACAGTCTGTTATAATATAGAGTTTATGTTCGCGGACATAAATATGCTTTGGGCCCGACTCAGACTCATTTTAATCCGAGCCGCTAGGCGAGGGTTAAAATGAGCTCTGAGAAGCCAAAGAACATAAACTATCTTACCATTATTATCATTTCAGAGGGCATTGAGAAAATAATAACTGAAAAAATGACAACGAAACAGTCTGAATAATTGAATGGCTTTTATTTTCCGTCAACGAAAATACAAAATACATCAAGCGTAGCTTCTTGTTATTCGAGTTTTCAAAAATTGTGGAAGACACGAAAGGAAACTTCGATAAAGCTTATTTTAAAGTGTTGAAATTAACTGTACAATTGCTAAACTGACAGTTTGACATAATTGGCTGAACTGAGTCGGTTTGACTTGAAGCCGCAAAACTTTACATTCACTTCGCCACCGGCCATGGAGCTACTAAAGGCGGTATTTACTCGAACATTGTAATGGCTTCTCGATTTTGGCTGGCTGCTTAGATCGTATGATTGTTTTATTCTCACTTTTCATTGGTTTACAAAATGCGCCACAATGCCCGACAAAGTGATAATAATTGTTATTAACAGTCTAGCCTACATTAAGATTTCATGATCTCCGCATCAAACAGTTAAACTCCAGGCCATCAAGTGGCCAAGCTTTCTGAGATGTACTCACAATTTCCGTGATCATTCCTTCCAGCTTATCTGAAAAAGAGTCAAACATTCTGACTGAAAGTGGCAGAAATGCTAAATGAAATTAGAGTAAATTCATATTTGTCTCCATTTTATACGTAACCATGAGTATTAATTCTTTTATGTCCGTTTTTTTTTTTTCGTGAGTTAGACCACAGTTAGCCTGCGACTCGCAGGCAGCATGTCTGATTTCACTTTTACTGGGTGAAAAAGCTCTGTTTAAGGATCGACAACAATTCAACAACAATTTATTGGTATTCCCATATAAATGGTGTTACCTAAATACATAATCGTTAAATAAAAATTCAAAAACGAAACAAATTACAACAGCAACCAGAAAGAAAAATAAACATAGTTAGTTACAAGATTCTTCATTTTAAGTTCTAGGGTTACAAAGTTCTCTTATTTGTAGTGCTTCATAAGTAAAGTAACCTAGTTTTTTACAAATAAAAGTGTCAGCATTGTTAAATAGAAATATTGTTTTCTCTGTGTTATTAAAGGAATCAAATTTTGGATATTTCTTGATGATGTCATTTGTGACTTGTTGTCTAATATTATTGTATCGTTCACAATGATATTAGACCGTGATATTAGACCGTGATACCGCACTTATTTTCTGATGCAACAGTGCATATATATTTTAGTTGTAAATGACGTCATTGCTAACTTGTTAGAGTTTACTTTGGAATTTTGTAAAACGTGCACTACAACACAATGATCTTTGTTTAATTAAATGTTAAATGTTTAATGCTTATAGTAGTCGATGCATTTAGCTACAACTAGCTAGTTTTCAAGCATGCCACTTAAACTGAAAGAAACAATTGTTGGACTTCTTTTTGACCTACTGCTAAAACACAATTTACAGATCGAATAATGCTCAGTTTTCATTGACATTCCACTTCCTGCCATTTGGAGAAACGTGCAGTTGCAATGGAATATCAGAATTGCCTTATCATAGCACGTGCTAGTGAGATATTCACTGACCTACAGCTACGTTCTACATTAAAAAGGTACTTCAAAAAATTGTAATTCAAAACAAGTTGCACTAGCTGTCTCCAGGCAAAAACAGACAGAAACTGCGTGTCGTGCCTAAACCTCGAGTGGAATTATCGTAAACGAGCGTTCTAATAAGCTTTCTCCGTGCTGTCTCAAACAAGACATGAGTTTCCAATACATACGTACATGCAGTTGAGACCTATCGTATTCGCGTAGCTTTTTCTCACTCCTGAAAACTTTATCAAATTTTAAAGGGCCAATATATGACGGCGGTGATTTTACTTCACGATCCGTATCATGCGTATCAGTCAATCGAAGGTTTCATGTATTTGCAGGTCTGAAGTGTTTTTTCAGTTTCTGAAACGCAATATCATAGAACCAATATTAGCGCAGCTTGAAGGTGATCTTTACTTTTTGGTTTACTGCATATTCCAATGCCGTAGTTTTCCAGCGACGCTTTTCGTTTAGCATATTTAATATTCCTTTAATTTTTTTCCTCGATCTCAGAGACTGAATCATACTACCTATCTGACTGTGTTCTGCCGCACTTTGTAATAATCGTCACACTTTGTAACACTGATCGCACTTTGTAATAAAATTGTCGCACTTTGTAATAAAATTGTCGCACTTTGTAATACATGTCACACATTGTAATAAAAGGCTGTCGTATTTTGTGATAAGAGACTGTCGCACTTTGTAGTAACTGCTGTCGCACTTTGTAATAAAGTTCGCTGAGATCATGAGCTTCGGGGAAATAGAAAGTATATCGTAAGTATGTTTCTGTCTGCAATGCTTCAAACATAGGCGTATGGGCCTGGGGGGGGGGGGGGGGGGGAGGGGAGGGGGGAGGGGAGGAGGGAAGTGGACAGAAGGGTTTATTCTGGAATGGACAAGTACCTTCCTTTAGAGGCAGCTAGCCGCACCCTTGCTGCTGCTAGATTCACAAACTGAAATCAA